CTGATGCTGGGAAGGATGGTACGAAGATTAGAAGGCACGAAAAGACTATCGTGGGTCTTCGGGTGAAGGTTAAAGAGAGGATGGAGGCCATAGGGCAGTATAGGATCTCCAGCTGGCGTGAAATACATCACTCTCGTTGTGTTTACTTCTCCACACAACGCGGGATTAGAGTTGTCAGTGCATTGCTATAGAGACGGGGTCTGGCAAGCCCTCTCCGGCGTCTACCTCTGGGGGGGGGCAGTTCTACGTCATCCAAATTGGTTGAATCGTTGTGGTTGAGAGCCAGCACTTGACCTCCTCCATTGATCGTTGAATACCTCAACCCCCAACTATTGACTAAGCGGATATGTTTTCAACGCCAGCTGCGGCACCGCCGGTAGGAGCAGCAGCATCCGAGGAGGAACTACCGGGAAGCGCAAACCAGTTCACCTCGGATTTCGGGTAGGCCCTGGACAGACCCTCGATCGACCGCGTGTGAACAGATCAGGGTTGGAGAAAATGCACATGATTAACTACATGTGTTGGTGAAAAATGGAATTTGGAGGAAGTTTCGGGAGATTCTCCTCGGTTTTTGTACACTCACTCGAGTTTGTATTCGAAACTCGTCGAACAGTGTGGATTATTCCTACACTGCATCAGACCATCGCCCATTACCCCCGGGGATGCTTATCGGCCCGTTGTGGACCACCATGAGTGTGTCCCGTCGACTGGAGCAATGCATTCGTGCGGTGATGATACGTCGATGTTCGGCATTGGGGGTGAGGGAGAAGAGGGGGACAGTCTGAGGGCATCATCATCAATACTGACTACTAGCTTCCCTGGGGGGAACACGGCCTCTGCTTTGGTGAGGTCCCCTGCTGAAGGAGACGTTCGATGGGGGTTGTGTTTTATGCTCAGATAGCAGCCGAGGAGCTGAGCACACTGCATAGTTTGGTCGTTAGGAAAGCAGCAGATGTGAGTGCACGAGAGAGGATGCTCTTGCATCGACAGAGCGCTGTGGGAGCTGAGATAGTGAAGGCACAGCAGATGGTCCAGGAGCTCGCCGCGAGGCTGCTCGTAGATGCTCAATCGACGCTCAACTCTACAGCAGGGAAGTTGACCAAAAGGGTGAGGGTATGAAAGTCTCGGTGGTGATGATGGTCACGCGGCGGCAGATGGAGGCTCTTATGAGTCGAGTTACTTCAATGTTGCAAGAGACCCGGCGGACGGCAAGCGAGAGGAGACAGAGGGAGAAGGCAGATGCTCTCGTCCAGGAAGAGCTGAAATCATTGAGGTCTCGCATTGCTTCGTATAAGTCGGCTGCTACCTCGGCAAAGGAGGAATGTGCCAGATTGAAGAAAAAGATGAACGAGATGTCAACGATCACCGATGTAAGTGATCCCCGACCTCGGCCTGGGAATGATCCTAATCGTCACTCGAGGCATACGGAGTCTTTCCCTGTCAGTTGTCATCAAAGCAGCAGTCGATAGAAGGACCTTCAGCGTCATCACCACCAGCGGTGAGTGTTGAAGTCCAGGCTCTTCGAGCTAGGGTGTCAACCTTGAAGACTGCTGCCGGGGCTGCGAGGGAGGAATGCATCCGTTTGAAGACGAGACTAGAGGAGGCTCGGGGGGTGGGACCTCACCAGTGCAGTACGATGCAACTCGCCTGCAACTCGTCTCAGGACGCAGAGAAAGCATCTACACTCCAGGCGAAGCTTCGGAGGAAAGTCGCCGATCTAGAGGCACAGAATAGGATGGCACGGGAGGAAATCATAGAAGTTGAACACCGCGCGGCTGAGAACAGTCTGGCGGAGGTTGGAAGACTCGGTTGGTTCCCTTGTGCTTAGCTGACGCTACAGGTAGAGCGGCTAACACGGCATCTTGACAATCTCGAGACGGAGAATCGAAGGCTGAGGGCATCGGTAGATGAGCTGCATAGGCAGCAGGAGGAGGTGGTTAATAAATGCGTGGGTCGGTCGCTGAGACGGTCCCTGTAGGCGGCCTCCCAGCTGAATCCCCAGCTCGTGTCAACGGCAACATCGCCAACAGCTGGCTGGCGATGTGCCATG